CCTTCTTTTTGTTAGAGCAAAATTTTAAGTTTTTAATTTTGTCGATCATGATCGGCACAGAATTCATACAGTACGTGAATAAGGCTGCAGGCTTGGTCCGTCCCGGTCTCTATAGGAATGATTTAATAGTGTTAATCATTATCAATTTAAGCTGCAAGACACATTCTTATCGTTATCGTTATTTATTAATACGACATATATGTATATATAATAAATAGTGATTATGCTACAAGATATATACATTCTTATCGTTATATTTTTGATTAATACGACATATATGTATATTTACATTAAATATTCATTGTAAATGAATGTACTTTTTTTTTTATACAAAGCAAATTTAATAAAGCAAATCTAATAAAAACTAATTGAATGCAATAAAACAGTTACAATAGTCCAAAGTATACTAATTTCATGCAATAAAAAGTTACAATAGTTTTCTAATTATACAAAATGCAAATTTCTATTCGAAGCCAACTATTTTTGACACAGAATTTTCCTTTCAGACTCATCGTCTAATCTATTTCTTTTGCTTGAAATAGTAAGATTGGCTACGAAAGATGCTTGCTCTGAAGTCACGCTGGACTTATATAGACAAATAGTCTCTTACAATTAAACTTAAAGTTGGATAATCTTTCTGCATTTGTCACGAATTTAAATTATTTTCAAAATTGAATTAATAAATAATTTCCTAATTCATTTTGTAGATTACTTGATGATGTAAAGTTTCGAAAGAAAACGTTAAAGGCAATTAATCTAGACGAAGTAAACGGAATAAAATAAATAAGGATAAATTGGTTGATTGTGGTTCAATATTTTTCGAAACTTTGTAAAAGAACTTTATTATTACTCATTGTTGAAAAGAAAGAAAAAATTTGTTTCTATTTTCTTTTTATTAATTCATCACTTTTCTTATCAGCAACCGTAGGACCATTATTTGAACCAGTTAGGGACCGAGAACTGAAAATCGGTCCGATACGTTCCGGTCTTTACGAAAACCGATCCATCACTAGTTGCAGAACACGAAAATGTCATTTTCGCTCCACCAAATGAACAATAATTTAAATTACGCAATGAATAATCTTTTTCATTGCGAAATTTCCATGATAGAAATAGGTATTATCTAATACGTTAGGTACTTTTCATTATTTTAAATAAACTAGAAGTTTTATCGGTTTCACAATGAGAAAGAATCATTATCTAATTCGTAAGTATAATGTGTTCCAATAAAATAAAAATTTATAAACCATTTTATTTGTTCTAAAACAAGGCGCTGAATGAGCTTTATTATATAAAAAAAGATAAAAGTCCTGTTTATATTTTAATAACCATTGTAAATTTGCCTATTTTGTCATTTTATTAGGATGAGATGCATATTATATATAAATTATAAATAAATATTGTAATTCAAATTCTAGAAAAACATTTTCTCGAAAGATTATGATTCTGATAAAATTAGCTAGCATTAGATAAGTTGCTGACAAAGTAGTTGGAATTATGACTTTCGGAAATCATAAAGTAACAGATATAAATGCGTCCTATATACGCACATACATTCCATTTCATCGAGATAGTAAAAATGACTTTTAATTTTTTTAGGCAACTTTCACAAAATTTTACTCAACTTCTTGAAAATGGATATGGTTACGATGTGATAATTGAAGTTGGTGAACAGCCATGTACTAGACTGTTTAAAGTACATTCAATAATTTTATACCAACGTTCACTTTACTTTCGTCAAAAATTAACAAATGCAGTTAAGCAAAATGATGTTAATAAAATTAATTTGCCTCATATTTCCGCTGAAGTATTTAATATTATTATTAAGTAAGTCTTAGGAGTAGAATTATCATCATTATTATTAATTATTATTGTTGTTGTTATTTTTGTTGTTGTTGCTATTTAATATTTTATTGATTTATTATATTAATAATATAGTTACATTTATGGGGGTACAGTTTCTTTAAAAAATCTAGAAGCTTCAGCTGTATTTAATTTGTTGACCACTGTTAATGAATTGATGCTTTCAGAATTAGTCAAGCATATTCAGTCTTACCTTGTTAATAACAATGCATCTTGGCTTCGCTTGAATTTTTTTCGTATATATCAAATTAGCTTTCTTAGTAAAAACTTTAAAACTTTGCAGCAGTTCTATAATAATATTATTGCTAAATATCCAAGCTTAATTTTTAATTCTAATGAATTTATTACTCTCCAAGAAGATGCTTTAATTGCTCTCTTGAAGGATGATAATTTACAAATGGAAGAATCGGAAATTTGGGATAAAGTTATTTTATGGGGGAAAGCGAAAACTCCTGACCTACCACCTAACCTTGAAAAATGGACTAATGAGGATTTTAAGTCTTTAAAAGCTACACTTCAACATTGTCTTCCTCATATTAGATACTTACAAATTCCTAGTCAAGATATTTTAAAGAAAATTAAACCTTATCATAAAATTCTTGATGAAAATATATGGGTTAATATGCTAACAAAACATTCAGACCCAGATATACCTATTACTTCTCTAATTTTACCTCCTCGTAAAAAAACAACAGTACAACTTCCTCCTCGAAAAGCATCTATTCTTACACCATTCTCTTCTATAATCACATTACAACATGCAGCGGAAATTTCTTCTTGGATTGATCGACATTCAACAATTTATGATACTGCTGAAATTCCATATGAATTTAAACTTTTACTTAGAGGCAGTAAGGATGGGTTCACTGGTGAAACATTTCACAGACTTTGTGATAATATACCTGGTACTGTAGTTGTTTTAAAGGTCCGTGGTACAGATGAGATACTTGGTGGTTACAATCCTCTTATTTGGAAAGTTTCTAACGTTAATTCTAAGTACAGATGTGAATCTGTAGCAACATTTAATAGTTTTATTTTTTCTTTAAAAAATGGAATCATAAATAAATCGATTTTTAGTCGTATAAACGACATAACAGAAGCAATTAGTTATGGTAATATATCACAAGGTCCATGGTTTAATCATGACCTTGGAATGGGACAATCTTATCCTATTCTTGAAGGATGGCATTGTGGAAAGTTTGGTTATGAAAAACCAATAAGAAACATTAATGGTTGGTTTCTTGTAGATGAATACGAAGTATTTCAAGTTTGTAAAATTTGACACATTTCAATATCATATTTACTTAATAAATTTCAAGTTTATAGTTTATTGTCTATCAGGTTTGAGAACACATGTCATAGTACTTTCGCACAGTCACAGTCACAAATTAACGTACTCCTGTGCGTTATTTTGAGACATCACGTATGTTATTTCGATAAAAGGCCAAAACTTTGAATATGATTTTGTCTTTCACCGGTCAATTCTGAAGAATATCAAATGATAGCTACACTAAGACTTTTGTTGTCCTGATTGCTAAGCTAATTTATCTAACTGTTATGACTGCTGTCGTGACAGGTCAGTTTTAACAATGACAGTCTTATCGAAACGCTATTTTTTTTTTTTCTATCCAAAATTAATCTAATTGTGATAGTCGTCAAGAACTAATACACACTAAACAGATAAATCTAATACAATTCAGACAACCTATCTAAAGAATTTATATTAAAGCTTCAGTTGTCATAACTTCGAAATTTATGATAAACATGTTGATAGTCTACTTGAAGAACGAAGATAAATTATCTATATCACTCAGTAAAATATTGGATGAATAATTTAGCGAAATTAATGAAATTTTGTGAATGCAATACTACTATAAATTTATACGTATAATACAGTAATAAATTCAGATGAATTGCATGTATAAAGGAGACATATGAAATGTCTGTCTATAATACAAAAATACTCTTACATGTTTCTTGTAAACTCAAATGAAGGCTAAAATTAAACACTAATTATATTTTTTTAAAGTTAAACTAAATAACATATGCACAATAATTCTAATTATATTGTTGCAAGATGTTGCGTATAATTATATACCTAACAGATATCAGATATATAATTTTATTTTATATCGTTATATAACATATAATGAGCAATTCCACTCCAACTAGTTGGTCAATACATTTAATTTTTGAGGTTGCGTAAAAACCCGCCCACATTTGTAGCAGAAGCGCTGAGTATATAGATCGTTAGGAAAATTTGAAACAAACGTTCGTTTAAAATATTGTATTCCTCGAAAATAACGACAAGCTCCCTTTTTTTGCACGTAATGCTTGCCGCAATTATTGTAAAACTGGCATAGTGTTGATAGGATTGAAAATTACATTTTACAATATGTAATTTCACGTAAATTTCACACGTAATATATAGTGACATATAGTACCGGCATTATGAGATTCTGCATAAAGTTTACTGATCAAAGCGATGTACATATGGTCCAACCAATCACATGGAATCATATGATCGAATGATCACGTTTCTTACAAATCCATTACAGGATTGCTAATAGTAACTTAACGTGGTTGCATGGTAAGTTGGAAATCACATTTCACTCATTAATCAAGGTTTCTTTGAACGATTTAAATATAGGTTAACCAATTTCTAACTACAGTCAAACCTGTCTAAATGAATACTGTATAATGATAATAATAAATGATAACCCTAACATGTTTATATATCGCCCAGGGCATGCTCTGTGACAATTTTGCACATTGTAGAAAATTAAAAATCCAAATTCGTATTCAAAGCTGTCTCGTAAAACATTACAGCTACTTCAATAGGACCGTAAAATCAAATATGATCATACAAACGATGTCTTTTTTGACATGTAAAAATAAATGTCAATCATACGAGTGTTATATTCGAATCACCTTTTTTTTTTTATACCTTTTGTATTTTTTTCTTTTACACTTACACGTTTTTCGCGTTAAGCAATTAATATATCCTTGTAGATGGTTTTTAAATTACCCGAAGAAACGCCATATAAGGTTTATGTTTTTCTAAGAGTAAACTAGGCTATATAAACTGTATAAGATTACCACGTTAATATATAATATATATTTTTAATGTAGTAAAAATGGAAGACTTATGTTGTAATGAAGCTCGTTGGAAATTGGAACGAAGGATTAATAATAAGAATAACAAAGATCATATGTTAGTAAATAATTATTTTTACATCGTGCGTTATAATAACCTGATGTATGTATAGTATATATAAAAGCTATTTGCTTAAACAATTATTTCATAATATATTTTTATTAATGCTTTAATAAATAAATATATAAATCGCTTAACGTGCTCTGTACTCTTTTCCTATTCAAATATGTTGCTATGATTTATTATCTCATTATATACATTCTCCTTACACTATAGTACTAATAAATTTTGATTCTTATCTCTTATCAATATCTTCGATGCAAATATTATTATTAGAAATAATTTTATCTGAATTAACAGTTGTGCATTCATGTGACTGTTGGTTAACGTAACTAATAAATTTACTAGTATAAATTGTATTATTTTCCGTATTATTAACGCTAAAACTATTATTATTTTCGATCACTATTTCTTTATCAGATTTTAAAAATTCAGCCAAAATTTCAGTATTATTTTTCCATTTTAGAATAGTATCGTGAATTTTTATAGCAGATGGTCGTTTTTCTGGATCTTCGCTCCAACATTCCTTTAAAAGATTTACGTAACATGATGTTGTTCCTCTAATAATTGTTGGTCTCAAACCTTCTCGAATTTCTATTGCCAATCTTAGATTATCATCTTTATAGTCGGAAAAAACAACGTTTCCTGAAGAAATCTCCCACATAATCATTCCAAATGAATAAATGTCTGATGCTTTAGTGAATGGTTTTCCTTGCAAAACTTCAGGAGCTATATACGGTAAAACTCCATAAATCCCACCCGATTCTTTATCTAATGTTTTATTAATCGATGTTGCAAATCCTAAATCTCCGATATAAGCATTATGTAAATTATCTTGAAATATATTGCCGCTATGTAAATCACAATGAATAATATTATTGGAATGAATTATATGAAGGTCGGATGCAATATAAGATAATAATTCTAGTTTTTTCTCCCATTTCATTTGTGCAACTTGGTAAAGATTACTACGTAATGATCCCATTGACGCATATTGCATAACTAATATGTATGCATCTGTGCCTTCATCTTTTGATATTCCATGACATTGCAAAAACGTGGGGTTTTTAGATCCAATCTCCGAATATGCGATTAACTTTAAAATTTATATTTATTAATAAATGATTATTATTATTACTAAAATTTTAAAACTTTATCAAGTATTTACCTCCTTTATGAGTTCCTCGCAGCTATTTTTTGATCCATGAAACGATTTAAGTGCAACCATTTGATTTAAAATACTAAATGTGGTTGTGCGTTTCCAATTAGCAGCATACACAGTTGCAAATCCGCCCTTACCAATTTTCCTTTCAAATTCTAACTCATTAAATGGAATCCATGATATTGATAAATTACTGTTTGATAATAATTTTTTTAAAGAATGATCAATATTTTCAGAATCTACCACCTTTTGAAAATTATTACTTTTCGCTTTTTGTAGCCATTCAATAGCTTTTTTTTGATTAGGTGGTGTTCCATAGCCATTTCGATAACATAATCCAACTTTATATTGTCCATTGTAATAATCATTTTCTGCAGATCTTAAATACCATTCAAACGCCTTTCTTTCATCCTTGACTGTGCCTTTTCCATCCTCATAAAACAACCCAAGATTATATTGTGCAGTGGAATTGTCACCTTCAGCAGATTTTAAATACCACTCAAATGCCTTTTTTTCATCCTTTGCTGTGCCTATGCTATTTTGGTAGCAGAATCCAAGATTAGTTTGTCCATTCAAATTGCCACCTTCAGCAGATTTCAAATACCACTCAAATGCCTTTTTTTCATCCTTTGCTGTGCCTATGCCATTTCGGTAGCAGAATCCAAGGTTATCTTGTCCACTCGAATTGCCACCTTCGGCAGATTTCAAATACCACTCAAATGCTTTTTTTTCATCCTTTGATGTGCCTATACCATTTTGGTAACAGATTCCGATTTCATTTTGTCCATTCGAATTGCCATCTTCAGTATATTTCAGGTACAACTCAAATTTAGTCTTTTTATCCATAAAATATAACTTCTAAATTCACATATTTTATCATAATTAAAGTTTAGAAAGATGTTTAATGTGTATTGCACTATCATCTTACTATATATATATGTACTACATATCGGTATATTGAAAAAGGCAAACAGACTTCCGGGATAGTTATGGGTCGGGATAAGGGTTGCACAACAAATAACTACGACTTTAGCTAACCTTAATATTGGAAGAGGCATAGAAGATTTGGTTCGAGAATTATGGTTTCAAGTCTACTGTGACAGGAATGAGACTTCAAGTATTCTACTTGAAATTTGTGCTTTTTCGTATTTCCATTAACTAATACATATTTCTCAACTTTCTAAGTGTCAATTACTAAGCATGAATTTTGTCATAGGGTCATGACCTTCAATCATGGTTCTAGCAAAGTTATTGAACAGAAAAATATTCTCTATAACGATAAAAAGACATATATTTGTAATTTAACAGTGGTAAATCATTTGATTTAGCTTAATAATTATTATCAAAACGAATTTGTAAAAATTATATATATACGTATCTAAAAAATTTTCTAAATATATTTTGCAATTTACTGACTTAATTTCAATGGGTTTACTCCTATTAAAACTACAAAGATATACAGTATTTTCGTTGTTGCACACTTTCCCAAGGTCACCTTCCCGAAATGCTATTTCTCTGAGTCATAATTCTGATATACCTTTTTCCTGACAGGACTAGAGGTAAGTTACATATTATTACTTAATATTACTTAATATTAACCTGCATTATGTAATAATAAGTAATATTTTTAAAGTTTGTTTTTTTTTTGCGACAATTACAAAATATTATTTAATTTTTAAAAAGAAAAGGCAATTTACAAAATATTATACTATTTAAATTTTAAATAATACCCAAATTTTCTAATTATTTTTATGATTATTTATTATTTGACTATGTTCGCTAATATTTCATTATATGTAACTTAATCATTAAATACACAATAACAAATTGCAAAATAATAATTAATTTTTAAATCAATACAAAAAGCAAATTACAAAATATTATTTAAATTTTCAAATGATAATCAATTTTCTGATAATTTTTTATAATTATTTATTTTTGATTATGTTTACTAATAGTTTCATCATATGTAATTTGATCAGTAGTACTAAATATATTTATATTTTTAATCATTTTTATTATGTTATTCTATATACACAAAGAATTCATTTTCATTATTGTTAGAATTATATGCTATATCATTAATAGATAAAACATTAATAGAAATATTGTTTTAAGTATTTTTTTATTAGGATCAGTCATAATAGAAATATTGTTTTGAGTATTTGTTTTATTAGAATCAGTCATATTAGTATCTTGTTAAATAATTTGTTTAATATTATTAATCTTATTATTTTTAAAAAAATTTTTTTTTAAATCATATGTATTAGATATAAGTTAATTTAAAAGCATTTTTATTTATTAATCTATTTTATTATGATGCATGAATATTTTGTAATTACTGACCAGAATTATTTACTATTAGCTGATATTGGTGAAATGCTTATAATTTGAAAAGCAAAAAATGTCAATTCAGGTGTTTTATTCTAAAAATTATTTCAAAAATATATTGAATCCTTAATTAGATAATCATCTTAATTGATTTCAAAATCAAAAGGATAAATTGTATTATTTTAATTAATTAATTATATTCAAAATCTTTTAACATCTTTATTTGAAAAAAGATATTCAAATAACAAACTTGTTTCTTTTTTAATAACAGTTGCAAGTTTTGGATAAATAACATTTGTATGTACATATTAAGAATAAAGAGACCAATAGACAAGAAAAATAGATAATATATTCTATTTCAACATTATTGAATTCATGCATTAATATATTGTTAAAAATTAATATTATCTATTGTATTAATTATTATTTGTTTTGTATCTATAAATAAACTATATTAACAAATACAGTTTATCAAAATTTCAAAATAATAGAAATAAATAAATAAGTTTTTAATATATAAACAATAATTCTTAAATTATATTAGAATATATTATTTTTATAAATAGATATAATATTTTTATCTAAATATGATTCTATTTTATATATTATATTTTTTAAATATTATTCTTTATTTTGTATTTATTATAATGATACAAAAAAGAATTTCATCATGTAAAGGTAGAAAATAAAACCTAAAATATGTTATTATTTATATGAGCTCAAATATATTGAATAGTTTGTGTATTTTTTTACATATAAGTAATAATTTTTGTAATTAAATTTATAGTTATTTTTATATATTTATGTTTTAATATATCATTAACTAAAAGATTTGATTTATGTGCAATACATGACAATGCTAAGATATTTAAATATTTTTAAGTAAATATAACTTTCATATAAATATAATTTGCAGTTTTATAAATAATAATTATATTAATTTTTTCAAAACTAATATGTATTAAAATATCATTCAAATCTTTAAAAATAACAGTTGAAATTTGATTTTCTCTAAAAGTATCTTTAATTTTAACAAGTTTAGTTTACCAATTTTTGGCAATAGTCATATAATTTATGATATGATCTTGATGAATATTTGTTTATTTGTTACAATAAAAATCTATTCAGATTTATAAATAAAATTTTGAATTGAAACTTGAATTTTTTTATAAATATTATTAAGAATATCATTTAAAAGTTGTTTTTGTGCTGGCATATAATAATGTATATTAATTGAATAAACAAATTCTTTAAATTTTTTTGAATTCACAAAAGAAAAAGGTGCATTACCTTTTATAATACTCTTTAACAATAATTTATTAGATTTATATATATCAACTGGCAACTGCATATCATTATTATTTGGTTTTATAGAAACAATTAACATATAAGATACAATTGATTCATCTGAGAGAATACTAGATTGTTGGTCCTGTATAATAGTTGGATTTATTTTCATTTTTCATTTTTCATTGTTGAAATTGATGAGCATTAAGAAAATCATATGTCTGCACTTATAGAAGGTGCGCGTTTAAGTCCAGGATGTAAAATCTCATGCATGTGCAGAAGGCAGGTGTTTGTACTTAACACTAAGTCCCAAGCTCTGGACTAAGCTAAAATGTACATTTAGGCTACTGTTACACCCTAAGTTACCTCTTATAAGTTCGGTATAGCGGTTTTACTTTAGCGACGGATATATTATTCGATTGATAGCAATCACCGATTTATGTTTGAGTAAATATAAAGTTTATTGCGGTTACGCTTTTAAGAGGATTAGGGTGATTTGCATCATGAAAGAGGCAAACGGCTAAATGTATATGAAGATACAAGTAGTCGTATAACAAGTTTACAATTTATTCAATAAAATACTTCAAGTTATTCGTGTGTGTATGAAGACACTATAACTAGTTTATTGGTTGTTCGAGTTATCTTTGTATAAAGACACGATTACTCTTTTATTATTTGATTGTTGAGTTTAGAACTCTATTACGTTGTTGAGAATAAAATTGTTCTTTTACAAGGGAGATTTTTGAAGCTATTCATAGAAACAGATTGTTTCACTACATTCATTGTAAATTACATAAACAGTACTGAATGTAGATTTAAACTTATCGTTTAACCAAAGGTACGTATGTACGTACGTGCGTCTATGATGCATTTAAAGAAATCAATTCTTTTTATGTAATATATAATTTCTTGTGCTTAAAATAAATCGTAAACAATTCTGATAAGGGATTTTTTTAAGAAATATTTCTAAGATCGTATCCGACTCATTAACATTACAGATATTTACATAATGCAGTAATGGTGCGGATTTATTCATTCAACTTTGATAATATTTTGCAATATGAAATCATTAGTGAATGTGTGCGGTTTATATTTGGGATCTTGTATAAAGAATATTTAGAAAGTTTATTTATTAGATAATAAATTATTTCGTTCTGTTGATTTTACAATTGCATCCGCAGCAGATATTTGGGGATTGGGTCATTATGTAGATGTAAATTGGACAAGACCTTTGACAGACAGTCACAATATGTTGATTTACTTACAATAAAGTTTGCATTAGACTGCAGCAGTAAAAACGACCTATCGTTTTGACGTTTGGAAAAGAACTCAATGAATAGAATGAATGCATGAAATTTCCGATAATGAAACTAAAAATGAAATCCTTAGGTAGTGATACAGTCAAATTACAGCCAAATTACAATCGAATTTTAAAAAGATTCGATATTACGAAACCTACAATATATGTATAACTTTCATATAATATTCTAACTTTTTTACACGATTATGATTTTAAATTTTGGGTTACCAAATCCAATCCGTAACAAAAATCATGACTTTTGTTAAAAAACATCTAACAATAACAAAAGTCGAGTCTTAAAGGATTCAGCACTAAAACAACACAAAAACTTTATTATATGGTATAAAGAAAACATTCTTTACACAATTGCAGTTTCAAATTTTTGGATATAAAGGCCAATTCATAACACATGCACATCTTTTTGCAAAAGTATACATAGCAAAAGTTCCTACTAATGTATAGTTCAAAATGTTTAATTAAGGTGTTCTCAAGCATCTTAATCAATTGGACAAAAAGTGTCGGTGAATAAATTTTACTTAGCGGAAAATATTTTAAGGGAGTAAAGAATATTTAGATAAACATTGTAGTTTAATAAAATTTATTACGTAATCAATAAATTTTTATTAGTAAAGATTATTACGCGAGTTTATCATTTCAATTTACAAACATTTTACGGCAGACCACCTTTTTTTTATCCCTGGGTTGCAAAATTTACAATCAATTGAGTATTCAAAGAGATCGCACAAGTTTATCATACAACCTTATTACGCAACAACCGAATATTAACAAATAAATGTAGTGATAACGACATTTGATAAAATATTAATGGATCTCTCAAGTATCAATTAGAATTCTTATTTTGATTGATTGCAGTAAATGAGCATCGTCATGTTTATTAGCTAAATGCATAGAGAATAACGTTTGAGCAAACTTGATTATTTCATAATTTGCATATTTTGATTCGTTATCAAAAATTCTATGTAAATATAATTACCGTTGTGCACTATTACGATCACTAGCTAATCACATTGAGGTTGAGGCTTGAGAACGCCCTAAAATTTTTTAATTGTAATGCGCTATGATAATTGTTCATTTACAAAGATTGCTAAAAAAAATTGGTAGTACGTTTCTGTTGAATTAATTTTGAACATTTCATGCATAAAATTTAATAGTACATTAAATAATTTTGTCTAATTAGTATTGAAATTACCCCCAATGAGGATTGGTCCAGGAGATCCATTTTTTGATCAATTTTAAGATCTTGAATTCAAATTATTGTCTTTTATTTATATGGAATACAATTTTTATTATACATTAGCTTAATAAAACATTGAGTTTTTTAGATTTGAAAAAGTCAATTATTCGAAGACAGCAGAACTCTAAACATAGAATAATAACAATTCAGAAGATTATCAATTTAAAATTGGCGATTGAATTCAAGCATGTGACCTTGTTCGGACAAAAAAATTACGTATAATAAATAAGAAACTGGAAATGGAATCTCATTTAACACAAACTTTAATCACATTATTTTCAAGACTCAAAACTCCCTTCGAAGACAGATTCCCTTCACATGTTTAATCCAGATATTATATTTATATACTGTATAATACCATATAGGATTGTATAACCATTTTACAATATGGTTTGAAATCTTTCAGAATTTTACCATGCAATTCTTCGTTATTTCTTATTATTGATGTGTATAACATGCCAAAGTATAAATAGTATAATATGGTATAGATATAGCAAATGTTTTAAAATACAATGTTTTAAATTAGGTTTATATAGTTCTAAAAGGTTTTTTATCGTTTTAAAACAACTATCACGTGCCTTACTTAATAATCTTATGGGCTGCCGTCAATACAGATTGAAATTTTAAAAGAATTAATAATGCACTACTCATATCTCGATGAATTCTGAAGCTATTCTCATGAATAAATAGTCAAATTAAATCTTAAGATCTAAGATTTCTTTGACTATTCAATCATAAGAATAGCTTCGAAATTCATTGAGATATGACCTTTATTTTTTTAAACATGTCAATCTATTTGATTTCTATTGACGGTAGCCCATATGTCCGATAATTGCGTATTTGTGAGAATAAAGGTTACCATACCTACGAAATAAACGTCATCATCAAGCTTACCTGTCGATCACCCGAGTACTTTGCGGAGGCTACCCGGGTGGTGTTTCTTTGGACAGGTCCAACCTTTACTCAAATTTTATATACCATATAAAACTAGATCGCAAAGACTTTTTAATTATCGTAACTAGAAAGAATCGCATAGCAAAAGTAGCCGCTAAAATAAAAAATAAAGTAAAATACATATAGTACCAAAGTACATTGATGGTTATAACACATGGTCCTATAGATTCATGTTATTGTGTAATAGTTTAAATTCATTTAATTTCTTTAATGCATATAATTATTTATAAATACAATAAATACATAATATATATATTGCTAATACAATAATTTATCCATGAATAATTTACATTGTAAGCCTGCATCAAATATATTTTTGTCTCTTCGCAACTTGCATGAATTTTATACCAAATAACCGTGATTTAGCTAACTCATCGAGTAAGTTTGATAGTTCTGCTTTCAAATTCTTAAAGTATTTTCCAATGAATATAAAAAATGGTAACCAATTAATATCATTGTTACCAAGTTTTTTTTTTTAGAATTTGAGGTCTTGAGTTTTATTGCTGCATAATGTAGTTTAATATTAGAATTACGGAATGCGGAATTGTATTGCAGCAATGTGGGATCATGAAATCTTGCAAATTAATTCTGATATAACTATCATTTATTCTAAATTGTTGCATAAGTTAATTATATTTTCAACTAACTTCAACAAAAGCATCCCTATTAACAACAAGTTACCTTAACATTTCAATCAAATGTCGAGCACTTTGTGAATCTTCTTAAAAATAAAGCTTAATAAGTGGATGCATGTCCATACTAGCAGTAACTGCCTTTAATTTCCTTTTGAAAATAGGGCATTATTGTCTTTAGCTTGTGAAAATTTCTTCCTAATTCAGATTGCTTTAACATCTTTTTAGAATCTACTATTAATTTTTCCATTTTTCAATATTGTATATTGGAAATTTTTGAAATGTTTTGAAGATATCTGTAATGAAAAAATTTTGAAATTAGATGTTTCTGTTTTGATTATTTTGGATTTCATAGTTGTTTAAGTCATTAAAAATAGTACCGTTGTTGAATTTATCAATATCTTCACAAATTTGATTTTTTGTGTCATAATTGTTATTATTATCTAAATATTATAATCTGAATATTATAATCTGAATATTAGAGTTTCTAATAAAAATTTATATAAAAATTAATTAGTAACTTAAAATTACCTAGCTTTAAACAATTTTAATTTATAAATGCTTTAGTGATTGTATAAACATAAAATAATGCGCGGGGGTGTAATTTCGAATTTCAATCTAAATTAAACTTAATTTAGACCATTATACTCCTGTGCATTATTTCATGATTATAAGAAAAAAATATTGTAATAGCGATAGTTTTAACATTTTTATGTTTTTTTTTGATTGCTAGCTATAGTACATATGTGTTAAAATTTACTACATATTGATATGTATGTAGATAATTCAATTCGACAACTAATCAATTCCATCTCATATTAAAAAGTGAAATTTCAACATACCATTAAATTAAATTTTGTATTTCAAATTATTTATGCTTCAAAAGTTATTTTATGCTTGTGTAAAAATATAAAAAAAAAAATGTTAGTATAACATGTAGTAAAGCGACAATACTATATCATCATAAGAAAAAGTAGAAATCATGTTCACAATAACCTTTTAGATATTAAAGAGTTCGAACTTTACAGGAA